GACTTCTCCTTCCTCCTACAGGCCTCTGCTCTGAAACACCACTAGGAAGGAGGAGGGGTGCCAGCGTGAGCCCTACACTTGGCCCTGGTTGGAGGGTCATCTCTGGAAGGCCAAGGCCATGGGGAATTTGTTCTTCCAAACCTTCCTCTCTTCTCCCAACCCATTCTCAAATCTCCAGTCTTCTCCCTCCAGTCAAGAACCTTATCATGTCCTCTTCCCACAAAAGGCCCTCACAGTTGAGGTTTTCCACAGGGTCCATCTCTTGTCCATGCCCCACCTGGCTTTCGTCTCTTTTTTCCCATCCTCAGCTCCTCTTGCTTCATCCCTTAGGTTTGCTTGAAGGTTTGCTTTCAGCTCTCCTTTTTCCTTCCTTTCCTCCTAGAACTCATTTGCTGTCAGGGGTCTCCCCTCTACTGGAAGTCTGCCCCTGGCTGTCAGGATGTCACCTGGGGGGAAGGAAATTAATGTTTATTGGGCCTTGCAAAAGCATAATCTGATATAGTCCCTCTTCACCCTCCTAGGTTGCTATCATTTTTGTGTGTGTGTGTGAGGAAGATCAGCCCTGAGCTAACATCCATGCTAATCCTCCTCTTTTTGCTGAGGAAGACCGGCTCTGAGCTAAAATCTATTGCCAATCCTCCTCCTTTTTATCCCCAAAGCCCCAGTAGATAGTTGTACGTCATAGTTGCACATCCTTCTAGTTGCTGTATGTGGGACGCTGCCTCAGCATGGCCCAGAAGCGGTGCATCGGTGCACGACCGGGATCGGAACCCCGGGCCGCCAGTAGCAAAGCACGCCCACTTAACGGCTAAGCCACTGGGCCGGCCCCTAGGTTGCTATCATTATTATCTCCATTACACAGATGAGAAAACTGAGGTGTAGGGTTAGAGTTAAATTATAAGCCCAAGACTAGATGGTTGGGAAGTGCCAAGAGCCAGGTCCACGCCATGCTTATGCACCAGATACAACCAGACGTTGGGGAGAGGCGAAGTCCACCTCAACGCCTCCATCTCCATCATGAAGATTCTTCAGAACTCAGTGTTTCTCAGTGCCCATGCCCCAGGTCCTATCCCTTCCTCGTTCTCACAGGGGACCTCACATCTTAACGTCAGCCACTGCATCCTGTTCGCCCCGCCCCTCCCTGGTGAAGCCCCCATATGAGTCCTCAAGGCCACCATCAAGTCATCATCTTCCTCTGTCTCCACCAGCCTCAGGCCTGTCCTATGGGGAACCCACTCTGTTCTGTGGGAAAGACCCGGAGCACACAGTTCCCCGTAGGGACTCCAGAGAGAGGCGAACGAGGCCCCGCGGGGAGCCGCCTGCAGAGCGGGAATCCCAGCCCTAACCGCTGGCGCCCCTCGAGGGGAGGGGCGAGGGCGGAGGTGGTTCTGCGGCGGCATCTGTCCCAGGCGGGCGGGAAGCTGCTGCATTAAATTGTAAAATCGATTTATTGACCGGCAGGTGCGAGCAGCGGCAGATGGAGAGTAGCGCTGCCGGGGCGCATCTGCGGGGAGAGGCGACATCGATTCTGGCCCCCCTCCGAAACCCGTCGGTCCTGGTCCTTTCTCGTAGGCTCGCTCCCACTTGCAGGGCCAAGGTCCGCGAAACTGCGGCGCCTGAGCGGCTAGGGTAGCTCAGCTCCCTCCTCCTCCCCCCTCCTGGCCTCAGGGCCCGGGCTGCGCCCCCACGGCTGGCAGATCCTGCCAGTCCCACTGCCCCAGTTGGCACGCGGCGGGCCGGGCTGACGCGTGGCAGCGCCCTGCGGCAGATGAGGCACGCGCCGGCCTCATTTCAATGTGAATGGATCGAATGGAGCAGCCATGTGGCAGCAACAGTTTGCAAATCTCCCCGCCTTCTGTGCAGCTCCCCGACCGCTGCTCCCTGCACGTGGCCCCTTCTCCGCAGCGACCGCAGCGGCGCCCCTCAAGGCTTAAGCGCCCCGCCCAAGCCAGACCAACTCCTCCGCCCCTGATCTACCCTGCGGGCGCTGCGGCCTGACCCCCACCGCGCTCCTACCTGAGTGCAGCTTGCCTTGCGGACAACGCTGTCCCGGGGGTGGGGGTGGGGTGCGCAAAACGCCGCGGGAGGCCTCGGAGCTGCGCCGCCGGCCCTGGGGAGGGCGCCCAGCCTACCCAGTGCAGGAGGGGTCCCGAGGCTCTACGCGGCCCCTGTCGCACCCCAATAAGCTGGGGCAGCTTGGAGGCACGGCTGGAAGACAACCTTGGCCCCTCCCGGCCCCAGGTTCGGGTTCTGCCTGCTGGGGGGCTGTGTGCCGCGGACCCGCGGAGAGGACAGCAGAATCAGAAGGCCCCTGGGGCGGAGGCTGTGGGCCTTGCGTGAAGCCAGGCCTCGCCGCTGCTCCAGCTGCGGACGCTGGGCAGTGTTTCGGGTGCCGGTTGGAGTGAGGAACCGTGGATCCTCACAGGGCCCACAGTCAGTCGGGGGGAGCCCAGTGGGTCAGGCCTTGCATCCTATCCCCTCTCCAGGGTGTCGCCCAGCATCTGCATAGGGGCAGGGTCAGCAGAAGTCCACGTGGGTCCAACCCCACTGTGATTTGCGGCGGTCCACCGCCTCACAGCCTCCTGCTCCTGGGAGCCCCCAGGGCCCCTGTTGGGTTCTTCTGTCTGCAAGTCACCAGTGGGAGAAAAAGGGAAGAGCCCCAGCAGTGGAGCCTTCGCATTTCAGTCCCTGTCCACAGTGAGACCCTCTCCTGCCCAGCAAATGTGGGCAAAGCTGGACCCCAGCAGATTGGAGAGCCAGTGGGTCCTCAGGGTCGAGGGTGGCATCCTATCGGGTGATGAAGTTCTGGGATGCTCTGGGGTCGAAAACAGGTGCTTCAAAAGTGCCTTTTGATGGTGAGGAGAATTTAACACTTTCCTCCTCAGGTCAGAGGATTTCCAGGTCTCTGTTCCCTTGCCTTTCCTCTCTCTGAGGATAACGATAAGACTTATTTTTGTTTGGTCCTTGACTGTTTGCAAACTGCTTTTGGTCACATTAGCCCGGATGTGTATGAGGGGTAGAGAGTGTTCCAGATCTACCAGAATTGAGCGAAATGCCTCCCATGGGATTGGATGTCTCCTTGGAGGGTCAGGCAAGTGCCAGCGCCAGAAAAGGAGCAAGTTTTTACAAACTCCCAGGCCAGGATTTGGGGGTGGAAGTGGACAGAACTAGGTAGGGCTGGATGCCAGCTCAGAGGAGAGCAAGAGGCACTCCTTGGCACCCCAGGCAGGTCTAGGGATCTATACAGTACGGTCGGAGAGAAGATGGGGAACCCACTTGTCAGGATCGCTGGGAGGCAAGACCCGGGCTCCCCCTCCCTCAGGCCCGGGGACTCCGCCTGCCCATAACCTACATTAACTCTGGAGCGCAGCCTGGGCCCATCTGCCAGCCCCCGCCCCACCTCGGTTCCCCACGCCAACCCGCTCGCGCCAGATGGTGGCTGGGAGGGGTGGCCGTGCGTGGGGGACCCCGGAGCCCGTCTCCTCACCTCGCCCCTCCCCCAACCCACGCTCCCAACCTCTTGTTTCCCATCTTTCTCCCCCCAATTCTCCACCACCACCCCCAAGTCAAAAAAATCAGACCATACTTGGCCTAGGCAGCTGTTGGGCTCCGTGCCCCCCACCCCCCCGCCAGCCTCCCCGGGGCCCGCGCCGCGTCCCTGCTCCCCCCGCGGCGATCTTATCGCCCGACGACAGCCATCGCTGTGCAGGCGGGCTGACAGCTGAAGCCACAGGGCCCCCGCTGCCCTCAGCGTCGCAGAGAACGAGCTCCCCAGCACCCACGAGACTGGGAGAAGCCGGCCCTCCCCGGTCTAAGGCCTTCGGGGATCACACCGTGTTCCGGGAAAGCAGCTGCACTGCCGCCGCTCGAAGTGGGGCCACCCAGGGGAGCCGCGAAGGCGAGACGGGTGAAGCCGCCTGAAACTCGGACGAGTCCGCGCGCTTCCAGTTCCACCCTACATCTCGCCCCGTGAGAAGACCCGGGTCTGCCCGGCCTCAACCCCTCACCTGACTCTACAGTGCCTTGAGCCAACTGTGGAGGCAGGAGAGTTCCTTCCTGCTCCAACGGAGCGACAGGACGCGGGCGGGGGCTTGGGGCTGCTGGGGTGGGGGGAGACGGTGGGCTCCGGAGCTGAAGCTGAACCCAGGTGAAGGGAGGTGCTGGAGGCGGGGCCAGACCCAATTACCATACAGCTGAGGACGCGCCCCCTTCTCCTGCTTCGGGGACCACGCCCTCCATCTCCCGGACCACGCGTCTAGGGGCTGGCACGCGCCAAGCCCAGGCGGGGGGCAGAAGGGAGACGGCACGCGCTGGGCACACCCCCTGCAACTAGGGAGGGAGACACCTACCAGGTGGAGGGAGAGAGCCCCGGAGTCTTAGACGCTGGGGCCCTCGCCTTGCCCCTAGTGGCCACAGAGAGGTTAATGAGTCCGCTGGCTTCCCTGCTGCGCCGGGGACCTATGGTGGGTGGGCACTCACAGGTTGGGGGCCGACGAGGCGAGGGCGCCCGAAGCTCCGGGAAGGAGGAGATCGGAGTCCTTTGGCGTTGGTTTCGCTTTCTGGACTTCAGTTCTTTTTCACCTGCTCGAGGGCTACAGGTAAATAGCGCCGCGACAGACGCAACGCCCGCGGGGACTCCCCAGTGTCTCCGCCCCCACGACCCCGGGAACCACTCGCTCACCTCCCGCCTCATTCACCCCGGCCCTCCCCCTATCCTCCCACTGCTGGGGTCTCGGCCTGTAACCCCACGATTGCGGAGAACTGGTCGCCTCCGCACTCTCAGAGCTGGGGGACCAGAGGCTGAGAGCGGCACGGAGGGGCGGGGACCTGTGCCTGACTTGCTGGCGGGGAGGGGGATGGCGGGGGCGGAGGCCCCCCTCCGGGCGGCGCTGGGGCAGTAGCAGCTAGAGGCCCGGAGGGGAGGGGAGAGTGACCGTGAGTCTGAGTGACAGGCAGCGAGGAGAGGAGCCAATATATATAAGGAAGGCTCCCGAGCGCGCAGGTTTCAGTAGCGGCGCTGAGCGCAGGCTGGGAACGCGAAGCTAAGAGCCGCAGCTCAAGCCGCCTCAGTGCAGTGTACCCGGGCACTAGCCCGCTTGCAGCCCTAGGATTAGCCCGAGGACACGTCCTCTGCGCGGCCTCCGCCCAGCCGCCCTCACCTGGATTACCTACCGCGGCAGTTGGAGCGGAGCTAGCGAGGAGCAAGGCAGGAGGAAAGCCCGGAGCGGAGCCCAGCTTTTCAGGTCCCCCTCCGGCGGGTGGACGCGCGGGAAAGCGGCGTCCCGGACGGAGCCAGCTTCAGGGCCGGCGGGTGGAGAGAGCGACGCCCCAGGGGATGGCAGCGGCGTCCCGTAGAGCCTCCGGCTGGGCGCTACTGCTGCTGGCGGCACTTTGGCAGCAGGTAACGACCCGCGCCCCCTCCGCCCCCTCCCGCCGCGTTCTGGGCCTGAGCCCCGGGCATCCACCGAGCTGACCGCTCCCCTCCTTCTTACTTCGGTCTCTGTGCAACAGCGCGCGGCCGGCTCCGGAGTCTTCCAGCTGCAGCTGCAGGAGTTTGCCAACGAGCGCGGCGTTCTGGCCAGCGGACGGCCGTGCGAACCCGGCTGCCGGACCTTCTTCCGCGTCTGCCTTAAGCACTTCCAGGCGGTCGTCTCGCCCGGGCCCTGCACTTTCGGCAGCGTCTCCACGCCTGTGTTGGGCACCAACTCCTTCGCCGTCGGGGACGACAGTAGCGGCGGGGGACGCAACCCTCTCCAACTGCCCTTCAATTTCACCTGGCCGGTGAGCACAGCCTGGGCGCACTGGGAGGTCACGAAAGCCGAGAGAAGGGGGTTCCCTGGGACCAAAGCCCTCTCCCCAGATTTCCTCGCTCCCCTCAAAAAAATAAAGAAACGTGGGGCGCTGTCTTTTGATCCTTTCTTTTTCCTGGGACCTCATCCTCGGGAGGGCTCTCACCAGTCTCCCTCTTCTCAGTTCTACGCCCTCTCTTCTCCTGGCTTTTAGGATACGATTTTCATCACCTACCACTTCAGCGCGTCCCCCACCTCCGAAGGGCTCTGGAGTACATTCCCTATTCCTCAACCCTCCTCCTACCTGGGTTTCTCCTCTCGTCTTTCCCGCTTGCGCGCGATGCTGCGTCAAGACCCGTTATGTTGACCCGGGCGCAGTAACTGTATCCTGCAATTAGATTAATTAAACCGGCTGCCGCGAGGCACCCCCACGGACCCCCCTGATCATCTCGCTATCTCTCTGTCTTCCCCCGCCCCCTCCTTTCGCTTCCCAGGGTACCTTCTCGCTCATTATCGAAGCTTGGCACGCGCCAGGAGACGACCTGAGGCCAGGTGAGTAGCTCGCTCCGCCGCCACAGGGGGGCGACACGGCGCAGCGCCGAAAGAGTTAACCTGTCATAGGCGGGGGAAGTGCGGAGTTGGGGGTGGGGGGCAGGACGCTAAGCTCGGCCAGGAGCTGCGCCCCGCGCTGGACGCTCAGATTCCGCCCGCTGCCTGGACTCTGAGCACAATTGCGTTTCCTGCGGGTTATTTTTGGCGTGGGAACGCGGGGAGCGCGGCGGTGAGAAAGGCCGAAGCTGCCAGCGCCGCTGACGGGCCCCTTCCTGTATTTTACACCTTTCGCGAATTCCGCTCCTTTGGAAAAGGAATAATGGCTTTGGGATGTTGTTCTGACACAGAGGAAAAGGATATTTCAGCAGCACAACAATTCTCACTTTGAAAAGGAAAAAGAAAAGCATTACCCATCTCTGAGGGCAGAACCCCTGAATGGGCACCAAAGGACCCCTTGCTCCCAGGGTCCTCCCCGGCTTGAAGAGCTTTTCTTTTTCTTTCTTTCTTTTTTTCCATTTTGACCTCTTTTCCTCTTTCCCCTGCCTATCTGCCTCCAGAACACTGGGATATCTCCACATCCTTCTATTGTCCCCTTTTTGAATGATATCAGGCCCCTTGCACATGCACACTCACAGGGCAGCTAAGCAGTGGGACCCTTGGGTTCCTCTGGCCTGTGCTTGCTGGCAGGTGGGGGTCATCTGGACAATTGGTTTGATCCAGCAGTTGCTGGCACTCTCGGGGACTGGCTGCCCTTCCTTGACCTGGCCCTCTGCCCCTTCAGAGGCATTGCCACCAGACGCGCTCATCAGCAAGATCGCCATCCAGGGCTCCCTAGCTGTGGGCCAGAACTGGTTACTGGATGAGCAGACCAGCCCCCTCACAAGGCTGCGCTACTCTTACCGGGTCATCTGCAGTGACAACTACTATGGGGACAGCTGCTCACGCCTGTGCAAGAAGCGCAATGACCACTTCGGCCACTACGTGTGCCAGCCAGATGGCAGCCTGTCCTGCCTGCCCGGCTGGACTGGGGAGTACTGCGAACAGCGTAAGCAGCCAAGCTCCCACCTGCCTGGAGGGGGGGGCCCTAAGCAAACACAGTGGCGTCTTCTAGGCCACAACCTGCCTCCCTCACAGAGCCGGTCTGGGCTGCCCACTAGCTGGGTCTCAGGAACAGCTGGGGATGCTTAGGATGGGCTTGGACTCTGACCTCGTCCCTTCTTAGTGCTCCTCCCCATCATGCCAAAGCCCACAAGGACCCCGTTATGGCATTCTGTCCAGCCTGGATTCTGCTTTCCTGTGCCACTGTTTCCCTTTAAGACTCCCACGGCTCCTCTGGAAGGCCAGGAGTGCGAAGTGAGCCCAGAAGAGCTGGGGGCATCCCCAGGGCCAGGAGAGGGAGAGTGGGGTTTCAGAGTCTTTGGCATCCCAATCTCACCCAGCCTTGTTTTCTTTCCTCAGCTGTCTGTCTTTCTGGCTGTCACGAACAGAATGGCTACTGCAGCAAGCCAGCGGAGTGCATGTGAGTAGAGTGCAGGAAGTGGTGAGAGGGGAGCCGTGCCCTGGCCAGGCCCTCACCTCACCCTCAGCCTCCCTTTTGTCCCACAGCTGCCGCCCAGGCTGGCAGGGCCGCCTGTGCAACGAATGCATCCCCCACAATGGCTGTCGCCATGGCACCTGCAGCACTCCCTGGCAATGCACCTGTGATGAGGGCTGGGGAGGCCTATTCTGTGACCAAGGTGAGTCAGGGCAAAGAGAGGATGCAGAGGGGATGGGAAAGATAGACAGGGGGTGGGAACCAGAGTTGTCACCTGGACCCTTCTTACTTGGTGACTGCTGCATTGGCTTTCCCATTATCCTTAAAGGAGCTTGGGACTTTTAAGGATCTTTACAACTGGCCTAGAATGAGTTGCTGGATCCTTCTTCCTCAAGTGCTGGGGAGACAGGGTGGCTGGAGGAGCCAGGCGGGTGACAAGTTGGCAGCCTGGAGGTTGCACTCATAAATTCCAGCAAGGCCAAAGAGAGGGATGCCAGGCTCAGTTCCTCTTTCTGCCTCGTAGTTACCTATTAACCCCCTAAGTGTTTGCTTATCTGCCAGGGCTGTTTGAGCAGCTCTCCCGTAAACAGCTGTCTGGTGGGGTGTGCCCACCGGCTGCCCCAAGGCTGCAGGTGAGCTGGGCCTCTGGGCGGAGTGACATCTAACCGACTTCTCTTGGTGTGGGCAGAAACAGCCTCCCTTGTTCTTCCCCAGTTGCATTTGCCAGGCAGCTGCCTGAGCCCACACTCTTTCTGGTGTTTGGGAGGCTGGTCACTCTTCTGGCTATATAGGGGTCTGCCAGCCCCAGCCATGGGGAAGGGAGCCTTTTCTCCTTCATCCTGGTAGCCAGCTGCAGCATGTGCCTCCCACTTTCAGGGTCAAATGGGGTGGCTGCTGCCATGGAGACACCAGCACAGGCCTGGGTTGGGTGGGTGGGGGGCTTGCCAAGATAGAAAGAACTTGCCTAGAAGACTCGCTGGCAACAAGGGACTTGGAATTCAGCCTCTGATTGTGTGTGTGTGTGTGTGCGTGTGTGTGTGTGTGTGTGTGTATTTGTGTGACTTTCTCCCCCCTCCCCTGGAAACACACATGCACACCTGGTTCCTGCCCATTCTCTTTCTTCTCCCCACATTTGCTCCCAGGTGACACAGTCATATACTCATATGCAAACACAGCCCTTACAGTCTCTATATTTGCTCTGTCTGGTTCTCACTCCCTGTCCTTCCCAAATAAGAAAACAAATACTTATATTTCAAAATACGCTCGTAACGCATTCCCCTTTATTTATTTATTTACTTTTTTTGTGAGGAGATCAGCCCTGTGCTAACATCTGCCAATCCTCCTCTTTTTCTTTGCCGAGGAAGACGGCCCTGGGCCAACATCCGTGCCCATCTTCCTCCACTTTATATGGGACGCCACCACAGCCTGGCCTGCCAAAGCAGTGCGTCGGTGAGCGCCCGGGATCCGAACCAGCGAACCCCGGGCCGCCGCAGCAGAGCACGTGCACCCAACCGCTTGCGCCACCGGGCCAGCCCCCGCATTCCCCTTTAAATAATGCCTGGTCGCTGCCTATGGTGGCTCTCGCCTCCCCTCTACCGTTTCCACCTGTTAAAATTTTATCCCACCTTCCAGGCTTATCTCAGTGGCCCCTCCTCCATGAAACCTTTACTGACTTGCTCTTCAACACATGGCTTTGCCATCCACTCCTCTTCCTTACCTTCATTCTACTCTGGCTGCTAGAGTGTGTGAGCTTACCTGGCAGGCAGTTGTCCAACTGTGTTTTTTCAACTTTGATTGATTGCACTGGTCAGTTGTAGGTGCTTCAACATACATGATTTCATTGGGGGAGGAGGAAGGGTATTTGGGCCTAGCAGACTTTGAAGTGAACTTGTACTGCAAGGACCCTGGAGGGGACACCGTTCTCTAGCTCTGCTCAGCTGGTTGGTTCCTGTCTCCACAGATCTCAACTACTGCACCCACCACTCCCCGTGCAAGAACGGGGCAACGTGCTCTAATAGTGGGCAGCGGAGCTACACCTGCACCTGTCGCCCGGGCTACACTGGTGTGGACTGTGAGCTGGAGCTCAGCGAGTGTGACAGCAATCCCTGTCGCAATGGAGGCAGCTGTAAGGTGAGGCCTGGGACAACACAGGAAGGCAGAGGTCTGGCCAGGTGGCATCCAGGCATCCCCACCCCAGGCGGCCAGTGGATGTGCAGCCATGGACAGGTGGGGCCTAACCCCCAGCCATGTGTCTCTGCCCCCCAAGGTCTAACTTTAGCCCCTTTCTGGTCTCTCCCCAGGACCAGGAGGATGGCTACCGCTGCCTGTGTCCCCCGGGCTACTACGGCCTGCACTGTGAACACAGCACCTTGAGCTGTGCCGACTCTCCCTGCTTCAATGGGGGCTCCTGCCGGGAGCGCAACCAGGGGGCCAGCTATGCCTGCGAATGCCCCCCTAACTTCACTGGCTCCAACTGTGAGAAGAAAGTGGACAGGTGTACCAGCAACCCGTGTGCCAATGGTGCGTCCTGTTGCTTTGCTAACCTGATGGACCAGCCCTGGGGCCAAGAGAGCCTTCTGGCAAGGGAGGGTGAAGACAGGAGAAGGGTCTTGTCTGTCACTCTGGGCAGCTGAGATGGGTCCCCATCTGCTCTGGGTGGTGAAGAGCGTACTGGGTCAGCTGAGTGGCTTTGGAAGAGGAGCAGGTTAGCAGCGGGTGCAGGCCTAAGGAGGAGTGGTGTGTGCCCTGCATGGCTTCTATTCCTAGTCCCATGTCAGAGCCCTGACCTGGCTGGGGTAGCCTCTGACCCTCCCCAGGAAGTCCTAGACTAGAGAGAGGGACGTTGGAGGCCTCATGTCCCTCCTCAAGGGAGGCTGGCGTGGTCAAGGCCCTGCTCCTGGGGGCCTCACTTTGCCTATGGCCTTGCCCAGTGGAGCCTGGCATGGCACAAGGCATCTAGAATGTTCAGCATCTTTTGGGCGCAAAGCATGCTGGTTATCTTTGTCTCCTTGGCCTCCTGGTGACCCTCCGTGAGGCAGGCGGACAACACTGTGCAGGAGAGAAGCCTCGGGAGTGGGGAGGGGTTAGAAGGGCTGCAATGGAGTCTGCTCTCTGGCTAGTCACTTAAGTTAACTCCCTGGAGCCATGAGTTTCTTCATCACTGAATGGGAAATATAATACCTGTCTTCTGTCTTTCATGTGGCTGTGGAGATTAAATGAAACAATGATAATTACATTTATCTGAGCATGTACTATATACCAGGTGTGTGCTCTGCCTTCATGCATCATCCTCCCTAACCCTGAGAGGTCTCCTGTGGAGGGGGTGGCATTAGCTCCAATTTACCAAATGAGGAAACTGAGGCTCAGAGATAAGCTAGGGCAACAGGTGCCAGATCCCCAGCGAGAGAGAGGCAGTTGAGATTCAAACCCAAGGATAGCTGTCCAATTTTACTGTCAAGATCTGTAAGATGCTAGTAATTTTTATACATGAGCCCACTGAGGCATAGAGGACCAGGGTCACCCTCAGCTCCAGGTCTCCTGACTCTTCATGCAGTGCTCTTTGTCATGGGATCTGTAAATGCTGGCTGCATTCATGGAGGCGGAAGGACCCGAGCTCGTTCCTGGGATGAGGCGCTCACGCTGCACCAGGGCGTTCCCAGCTGATTGTTGACTTGTGCCCTTGTGTACCCCCAGGGGGCCAGTGCCTGAACCGAGGTCCGAACCGCATGTGCCGCTGCCGTCCTGGATTCACAGGCGCCCACTGTGAACTCCACATCAGTGACTGTGCCCGCAGCCCTTGTGCCCACGGTGGCACTTGCCATGACCTAGAGAACGGGCTGGTGTGCACCTGCCCTCCTGGCTTCTCTGGCCGGCGCTGTGAGGTGCGGACGCCCAGTGACGCCTGTGCCTCCGGACCCTGCCTCAATGGGGCCACCTGCTATACTGGCCTCTCCCCAGACAACTTTGTCTGCAACTGTCCCTACGGCTTTGTGGGCAGCCGCTGCGAGTTCCCTGTGAGCATGCCACCCAGCTTCCCCTGGGTGGCTGTCTCCCTGGGCGTGGGGCTGGTGGTGGTGCTGGTGTTGCTGGGCATGGTGGCCGTGGCTGTGCGGCAGCTGCGGCTTCGGCGGCCCGATGACGACAGCAGGGAGGCCATGAACAACTTGTCGGACTTCCAGAAAGACAACCTGATCCCCACAGCCCAGCTCAAGAACACGAACCAGAAGAAGGAGCTGGAAGTGGACTGTGGCCTGGACAAGTCCAACTGTGGCAAACAGCAGAACCACACATTGGACTATAATCTGGCCCCAGGGCCCCTGGGGCGGGGGACCATCCTGGGGAAATACCCCCACAGTGACAAGAGCTTAGGGGAGAAGGCGCCACTGCGGTTACACAGGTGAGCAGCACCTGGAGGCCCAGGGCCCGGCCATGGACCCCTGCATGGTACAGCCTGGGCCCCCCCGGGGACAGGTGGGAGGGTGGCACCAGGCCCTTGGCTGCTTTTAAGCGAACAGGGGGTTTTGCTACTGACAGGAGGATCCTCCAACAAGATTTCTGCCAGGGGTCCTTTGTCCTTCCCTCACTCCCATTCATTCATTCATTCACAAATGTCAAGTGTCCACACTGTGTCTCTTGTGACTTCCATCTTTCCACAGTATGGCTTGCCTCTAGTGGCAATGCTGGCTTTTTCCAGGCCTGAGACCCCTGGTAAGGTTGGGGGTCCTGTGGCTCTCTTAGGGGCCTGTTCCTAACTGCCCTCCAGGCTAGTATTTGCACCCCCAGTCCCTGTGTCTCTCCCAGAGCCACCTCTGCCAGTGCCCTTTGGCTCTCCAGCGTCCAGGTTAGCACCCCCATCCTCCCCCCAGCCCTCTCCCCATCCCTCCCTCACAGGCGTGTCTTGTGTTCCCTCAGTGAAAAGCCAGAGTGTCGGATATCAGCGATATGCTCCCCCAGGGACTCCATGTACCAGTCTGTGTGTTTGATATCAGAGGAGAGGAATGAATGTGTCATTGCCACAGAGGTGAGTGCTGGGCTTGCGTGCCCTTCCAGCGTGTCCCCTGCTGCCTTTAGGGGATGGGAGAGTGACCTGGTGACTATCAGCCCCAGAAGCTCTCCTGAAGTGTGGGTCACAACCCGCCCTTGGCAGGCCAGGGTCAGTGGCTCTCGGGCCCCTGCTGGCTTCGTTGCCACAAGGGTGTGAAACAGGAGCCGTGGTGGAGAGCCGGGCCTGGTCTCTTCCTGCTGTGTTAGTGCTGGGCTGGGCGGCCGTGGCATCTGGCCAGCTTCCAGGTGCTGCTTCCCAGCTGCTGGTGGGTGAGGGTGGTTGCTTTATGCCCCCTCCTGCGCCTTCTCACTGGCTTCCTCCATTGGCCCACCTCATGAGCACAGGCTCCCAGGCATATGCATGTGTAAGGCAGAAAACGGGGGAGGGCTGCCCACATTCCCTTCACCCCGCCTGCCCCATTGGCTTCTCCCAAGGAGGGCAGCCATGGAGGCCTCGGGGTAACCCACTTCCCTGCTCTCCACACGTTCCCCAGGTATAAGGCAGGAGGCTCCCCAGGACATCCCAGCTTTGCCCCAGCAGCTGGACCTTCCTTCTGCATTGTTTACATTGCATCCTGGATGGGACGTTTTTAATATGCAACGTGCTGCTCTCAGGAGGAAGAGGGAATGGCATGAACTGGACAGACTGTGAACTTGCCAGGAGATGCAGTACCCTTCCACACCTTTGGGTGTCTGGCATCAGATTGGCAGCCATGCCAGCAAGGGGAACAGAGGAAAGGAGAGGTGCCACTTGGACCTGCCCTGCCAGCAGTGGCTTTCAGAGGGCTTCTTTGGGGCTCTGGCCTGTTTTCCAGAGGGAGTGGCAGTGGCCCCCTGGGGCCTGGAGCTGCTGTGGTCTCCACTGGCATCTGTGTTTCCACAAGTGCCTTTGGCCCAGGCTCCATGGCGACAGATGGGTCCAAATCAGAGAGGAGAGAGGAGGCCAGTAAGAGCAGGGCTGTCCGTCCGTGGGCAGGAGAGCATCAGGTGTGGCTCTTGGCAGGAGTTGCCCTGCGGGTGAGGTGAGTGCCTGAAGCGGAGGAGCACTTTCTGCCCCGGGCCTCCAGCTACTTCATGTGGGCCTTGCTCACAACACCACCCCAGCCTCTCCCTGGCCCAGCCCCTCTGGGCAAGGATGCTGGTAAGCCTTACCTGGCTTCCAGAGCCTCTGGCCTTGAGTGCCTCAGGGCTCCTGTGAGCAGACAGGTGAAGAGCCTGCCCCTTCTGCCAGCCAGGGGCGCCGGGCCTGACTGGGGAGCTCAGGGCAGTGATGTTGGAAATTCCAGTGAGGGAGAAAGTGGGTGCTGTTGTCACCTAGGCCCTTTCCTCCCTCAAGCCCATTCGTGTGGCCTCAAGCCTGGGCTCTGCCCACACCACTCCTGCCCCCAGACCACCCTTGAAGCTGATCTTCAGAAATCAATAATATGAGTTTTTATTTTGTTTTTTGTAGTTTATTTTGGAGTCTAGTATTTCGATAATTTAAGAATCAGAAGCACTGACCTTTCTACATTTTATAACATTATTTTGTATATAATGTGTATTTATAATATGGAACAGATGTGTACAGGAGTTTATTACTTCTTGGGTCCTGTCTTTGTGATGGCAGAGTGGGAATCCTCTCCTCGTCCTGACTCCCCTTCTCGTATTGTTTGCTGTGGGCTGCCCCACCAGAACCCCCAGGACCTGTGCTGGTCTTGGGCTTGGCCTGCTGTGCTCCAGGCCCTTAACCCCTTCCAGTCCTGGAGGAGCCCGGCCTCGCCCATCTAGTTCCCTGCTTGATGGCTTGAGGCTGGCTGCGTCCCCCCTTTTCTCCTTATACTCCCACTATTCCTTGGGGGATCTGCCCCCTGACCTGAATCTATCCCCCTTTTCTCTCCTCAAGCCTGAAAAAGCTTATGGGCTCCCTAGTGAGCCTGGAAGATACAGGAATTTGGGGGAAGGGGACAATCCTGCCTGTTTTTCTCTTTTCAAACGCATTCTCTTGTGGGAGAATGGGGTCTCTGAACCATGATGACGTCTGGGTCCTGACTCCTGCCGTTGCAGGGTTTTAGATGGACTGCACCCTATTCTTCTCAGCTCCAGAAGACACTGGTCTTGGAGGGTGAGGGGGGCTTTGCCTTGGGTCTGTCTTCCTTGTAGCTGGGCAGGAGAGCTGAGTCTCGGCCCTGGTCTGCTCCGAGCTGCTGGAGTTTATTGAAGACTTCAGGGAGCGGAGGGGGAGGAGGTGGCCTTTCCTCAGCCCAAGTTTCTCTGGCTGAGGCACCGATGAGGGAATTTCCAGTCTCTACTTCATGCCCAGCTTCCTCTAAGGCACAGGATGGTCCCTAGGGTGCCACAGTCCTTTCTCTACACCCACAAACATTCTCTATGGAGAGCAAATGAAAAACTGAGCCATTGACAAAAAGCTGAGCAGATGATCCCAGCTCTCAGCCTGTCCCAGTAAAGCAAAATAGACCCACCAGATGCTCCCAATGGAGTCCAAGTCTATGCACTGCTACTTGCTCTCCGTTTTCCTCTTTCTCCCTGACACACACACAGCATGCCTGGCCCTGATCTGGTTGCTTATGCCAGAGACACGGGAGCAAGAGACCCAGGCTGATCTACACTCACCAGCATGCACACGCTCCACGCCTTGCTCACTGCTCCCTGTTCCCCTCGCTGCACACACAGGGTATCAAACAGGAAAGCATTCAGGGAGCCGTTCCCACAGCCTGAGCCGGCAGCAGGGGGAAGAACAACACGACCTCACTCTTCCTGCCCAAAATGAAACAGGAAAGCTGCTCCCGGGCCCTGGGGGGCGGGGGGAAACTGGGCTGGGACACGAAGTCGAGATGACGAGGCTCCCATGTAGGGGACAGGTAGGACACCCGCGGGCCTGCACGTCCACACCACCACGCTGTGCTGGGCTGCACTGGCTGCCAGCCCCTGAAAGAGGAGCCCTGGAGGGGAGCTGGCTGGCTAAACCCACTCACCAGCTCTGATACCCTAGACAGGGAGCTGGGAGATCCCGCCACCCCGGCTTTCTGGGGAAAGAGGGGATCCATGCATGGACTTGGTCTGGGCAGCTCCAACCTGTAGTTCATGCTAGGCTCCACATCTAGTGACATGGCAGAAGCTGCGCCAGGCACTCGGGGTGTGAACAGGCCCCAGTGGAAGCCCTCCTCTCCCCAGGATTTCCAGGAGGTCACTCCCTGAGGGTCCAGCCCCTTCTCAGAGGTAAGATAGCCAAGACTTTCCGGACGGAGCGTCCAGGTGTGCAGGAGAGGTCCCAGACTTGGCAGAAACAAGGCCAGATAATAGCTCTAGACTCACTGTGAAGTGCTCTCCATGGCTTAGCAAATGCCAGTGTTTAATCTTCATGGGTATTTCCCAAGAGAATTCAAAGTTCAGCAGTTCCTTAACAGCCTGGAGGCAATGCCCAGCTTAAAGAATAAGTGTGACCCCACAGTGACCTCCAGCTCTGAGGACAGCTGCTTTTCCAGTGCACACTGGCTGGTCACCACCTGGATATCACTGGGGGGAGGTGAGTCAGAGAGAGGCCCTAATGAAGGGAGGAACGCCTTTATCCTGCTTGATCAGCCAGGGTCCCCTCTCCTGCGTCAAGCCCCGGTCAGACTGGTCAGGGGGTAAAAAAAAAAGGACAGTGGCCTCTACCTCCCCTCAGCCCAAGCTAAATAAGGCCACTAAACTCAGGCAGTACGGCCGCTCCGCCTCTGACGGGGACCCCCAGGGCTCTCCCCTCCCTCTAGCTCTCCCAGCCTCTCCCCGTGGGTCCGCAGGATCGGCAGACCCAGCCCTCTGCCCCACGTGGCCTGCTGCATTCCGGGAAGGGGCTGGAAGTGATTCACTCAGGGAACCGTGACTGTCCCTTCCCGGGCAGAGGATGCGCCTGGGAGGTCCCAGCGGCCTTCCCCGGGCAGCCGCGCCCTCCTCGCGCCCAGGGCGCACGGTCCGACCCCGTGGTCCGGCCGGATCCCGGCGGGCCCGGAGCCCCGAGCGGCGGCGGAAGAGGCAGGTGCGGCGCGCTTGCCCGGGTCAGCCCTCCACCTGCCGCCGCCGCCGGGCGCCCCGGAGGTCCCGCGGCTCCCCGCCCCCTGCGCTCTTTGTTACAGCTCCACTTCCTGTTTGCGGCCTCCCGACCCCGCTCACTTCCCGGGCCGGGAAACCGCCGAAGGCCGCGAGTTTCTCGGAGACTCCCCCGCCCGCTCGGCTCCGCCTCCTGCGTCCCCGAATCCCGCCCCCGGCCTGGGAGCCCGCGCGGGGCCGCGGCCGCGGGAAGCCGGCGTCGCTGGCGGGCCAGCGGGCGGGACGGCCCGGCCCCGCTGCCTGGCACCAGAGGGCGCTGCGCGGCCGTCGGGGTTGCCCACGGAGGGGGCTGTCGTCCCCCGCAAGGCTCGGGGGTCAGCCCTTCTGCGTCCTGGGAGCCAAAGGGACGAGCCAGGGGAGGGGGCAGCCGGACGCGAGCTCAGGTTTCGTCTTTGTCGCGCAGAGCTCCCTCCAGGCACCCAGTCCCTAAGCCAGAGAGCTCAGGGCGACGCCCTCCCGTGTCTGTGCCTCCGGGTGTCCAGAGCAGCAGGGCCCTTTTGCGTACTGAGCCATCGCAGCAGCAGCGCCGACCGACTGAACGCAGTCAGCCAGCGCCCTCCCCACCTTGAAGTCGGACTCCCAGTCCTCCGGCCATCCCCGCCCCGCAGGCAGCCTGAATGGGGATCGGCTGGAAGAGGCACCGGGTTTGGATTGGGAGGCTGAAGCTCCCTTCCAGCACCACCTCTCAATGCCAGGTGACCTGGGACAAGTCCATCCATTTCTTCATTCCTTCCAGTTATATGCCATGCGCTGGCAATATAACATGGTCTCTGCCCGAGGAAGCCAACCATGGAGTTAATTAACCTCTCAGAGGATGATAGTACCTCTTGCACTGCACGTTACACTGAGGTTGAAATGAGTTAGTGTATGAAAATATTTGTGAGCAACGAGTTCTCCACTGGTTGGTTAATCCTTCTCAAGCTTATGCCGCAAACCACTTTCCAGAGCTTCCACTCTCCCTGCCCACTGGATCAGGGTGGGCTAGAGAGGAGCTGGGAGTCTGGCTGGACAGTCCCAGCAGTAGCCCCAAGACAAAGGAGGCAGCTGGGATCCCAAGTTGCCTCCACTATTGCTTCCCTTTGTGGCCCTGTCTTTAAGGAACACTTCTTAGTCTAGGTCAGCCTCCTCTGATGTAGGGAGTAGTGGAGGGGAGACCTTGGCTGTGGGAAGGGACAGCTGGACCGTAAGTCCTTAAGAGTCCCCTTTCCCTTGGAGATCTGCCACAAGTGGCTTTTGCCGCCTTTTCCCTGGTCTCTGGGGCCCGGCACCCTTTAACACTCTGGTCAAGAGTGGGCTCTGCCTGTTCCCTTCATCCCCAAAGATCCTCTGAGGCCATGACACAAGGTCTGGAAAGCCAGCTGAGGCTACACAAGGCAACTAGCAGACACAAGGTAACTGGCATCTCAGGAATCTGGATTTAGCAACAGGTCTGCTCTGGGCCCATGCCAGGCCTGTGTCATGGCACCCCCTGCAGGGCAGAGCCAAAGCCCTGCCAGGCCTGGCCAGCCTGTCTGTCTCCAGCAATCAGGTTGGAGGCAAAGCAAGCCCTGGGGGGTTAGCAGACGAGTGCATGCCACTTGGCTTGTCAAAGGATTGCTGTCCCTTTCCCACAGTGGCAGCTGTCCAGGCCAGGTCCATCCTGCTAGGCCCGGTCTGTTCACTTTCATCTCCATCAGTGATTCCCTTCACTCAGTGCTTCCTCTTCTATCTCTGGTGAAAGAGATCTACAGGGTTCTGGATCTCCTTCTCATTCGCAGTAGGCCCTTGGGGGATGGAGTGCCAGCTGCTCTCATTTAAAGGGCTTCATTTCCTTTGCTCTTGGTGGGCCTCAGAGTCTGCCCCCACAGTCAGGCCCCTTTTGAGCAGTCATACTTCTCCACATGGGCTGTTTTTCTAGGGTTCTCTTCTAAAGCCAGGTCCTACCACATTGCAGCACTCTGTGAGGTCTGACATTCAACTCTGACCCCCTGGGTTTCCTCTCTACACAGCCCTGTCACTCCACTGAAATGCTCCCCACTGTAGTTCTCCTCAGCCCTGCGGCCAGCCACTTCCTGCCCCCACAAACTATACATTCCTCTCTTCTTGGAATTTTGAGGGAGGTCCCACCATCCCAACCCTCTGTTGAAGCCCTGGCCCCTCCCCTTCCAGGTGGACTAGGCCAGAGGTCTGAATAACTGGAACACTGGCCACCCCAGGGTGCCCTGTCAGCAGCATCTTCCTCCCTCTTTGGAGGCTAGAAAAGGGCAGGAGCCAGGTTTTCCCACCATCCCATGTACTCTTCTGCCAAGACATGGGTGAATCCTTACAGCTCCTGCTTTTGTGGACAGGGAGCCAGGTAGATTTCCCCCCTTGGCCCTGGTTTCAGTGGCATAACCAGCAGAGCGGCTGTCTTCTCTTCTCTCCCTCTTCCGAGGTAGACTGTGTTGAGGGATTCAGCTACTCCTTCATCCCATCCTTTTGCCAGAGTGTTGGTGGGAGCTGTG